TTTAATGTTTCCCAGTAAGACTGTAGATTTGTCTGTTTCTTATTTTAGTTACTTTATCTTTTTTAATGTATTTTGAGGCTGTGTTATTAGGTAAATACAAAGTTATAACTGTTATACCTTTCTGTTAAATTGGACCTTTTATTCTTCTGAAGTGTCTTCTTTATCTCCATAATGGTTTTTGCCTTAAAGTCTATTTTGCCTTGTTCTAATACCACTATAGCACCTTTCTTTTGGTTATTGTTTATATAGTACCTCATTTTAATTCTGTTATCTTTTATATATCCTTGTATTTTGTTTCTCTTATAAGTAGCATATTGTTGGATTTTTGTTTTAACCAATTGTTAGATTTTTATCTTAACCAGATTTTGTTTGTGACCCAGATGGTACAAAATTACTTCTAAATAACCTGAGGGACAGTCTGTATCTTTTGGAGTATTTAGTTCATATTTACGTAATACAATTACATGGTGTTTAAATCTGTCATCCAACTGTGAAAGTATCTTGCCTGTTCCGTATTCTTTTTCCCCATTCATGCCTTTAGATTTATTATCTCTTATTTTTCTATTTCCCCCTCTAATAACTTGCTAATTATAAATTCCTAAAATTATTCGCTTAATGGTTAACGTTGAGATTAAAGCATGCATCATTGATTCAGCACGCTTAGATTTTCTCTCTTCCCAAACAACGCAAGTATCTTAGAACAACTTATTTAACCTAATTTATGTGTTGTTGAAAGTATGTATTTTAATTCTATTTACATGTCAAATCTCATAAGACTATGTTCTATGCAGTCAGTATTCATTTAGATTTATCTATATTTTTGCCTATACTTTCTCTTCATTTTTTTTCTTCATTTCAAAGCTTCTACCTAGGGTTATTTTTCTTCTGCTTAAAGAATACTCTCTAATATTTAATTTTATTCACACCTGCCAGTATCCTATTCCCTCCATTTTTCTTTTTTTTAAAAAAAAAAAAAGAGTTCCTCTTTCATTCTTTTTATTTTCCCCAAAGATTTTTATTTATTTATTTGTCAGAGAGAGAGAGAAAGCACAAGCAGGGGGAGCAGTAGAGGCAGAGGGAGAAGCAGGCTTCCCGTGGAGCAGGGAGCCCGATGTGGGACTCGATCCCAGGACCCCGGGATCATGACCTGAGCCGAAGGCAGACACTTAATGACTGAGCCACCCAGGCGCCCCTCCATTTTTCTTTTTATCTAAAAATATTTTTAATCTTTTTTTTGGATAATATTTTTGTTAAGTTTAGACTTCTAGGTTGGCATCACATTCTTTCAGCATTGTGAAAATATCATTCCATTGTTTTCTGTCTTACATCAAATCTGTTGACAAGTCAACCATCTGTTTAATTCAGGAGTCAGCAGACCTTTTCTGTAAAAGGTAAGACAGTAGATATTTTAGGCGTTGTGGAAACATAATAGCTCTGTTGCAACTACTCCATTTAGCAATTGTAAGTACAAAAGCATCCAAAGACAAAATGTTAGCCAAAGAATGTGGTTAAATTTCCAGTAAAACCTTATTTATGGACACTGAAATTTGAAATTCATATGATTTTAATGTGTCACAATATGTTATCCTTTTAATATATTTTTCAACCATTTAAAACTATATATTCTTATCTCACTGGCCATACAAAAACGTGTAGTGGAACAGATTTGGCTATAGTTTGCAACCTGTGATCTGATTGTTTCCCCTTGACAGAAATCTGTCTTTCAGTTTATTTTATATTTCCTTTGTATTTCTCCTACTTGGGATTAATTTGGCTTCTAATATCTGTGGCTTGATATTTTTTATCTGTTTTGGAAAATGTTTTGGTGTTACTGTCTTTGAACTTGATCTCATCTCATTCTGTCTCACTTCTCTTTCCAGTCTGCTGGGACTCTTACATCTGCGATAGACCTCTTCACTCTATCGTATTTGTCTCTGTAATGTTTTTTAAAATAATTTTTTCAAGTTTTTCATCATTCTGTACTTCAGTATGCATATTTTCTACTGACCTATTTTCCATTTTGTTAACATTCTCATGTGTTGTATCTACTGTGCTTTTAGTCTTTGAGTTCTTATTTTTCAGTTCTAGAATTGGCATTTGATTCTTATTTTATACTTTCCAATTATTTGGTGAAATTATTGGTCTTGTCTTATTTTCTTGAATGTACTAATCAGCATTATTTTAAGACCTCAACTGTTGGGATACCTTTTAGATCTGTTTCTATTATCTGTTTTTCTCTTGAATTTTTCCTTTTTCCTTTTTCCTTTTTTTTCCCCCCCTTTTTTTTTTTTTTAAAGATTTATTTATTTGAGAGAGAAAGAGAGTGGAGTGAGGGGGTTGGGAGAGGAAGAGAGAAACTTAAGCAGACTCTGAGCTCAGCATGGAGCCCAACACAGGGCTCAATCTCACGACTCTGAGATCATGACCTAAGCTGAAACCAAGAGTGGACACTCACCAACTACACCACCCACGTGCCCCTCTCTTGACTTTTTTCTAATGAGACTTCTGTCTTCTTGTATGCCTATTATTTTTCATTGTCAAGCATTGATATGAAAACTTGAAGTTCTGGATTGTGTAATCTTTTTCCATAGAGAATTATTTGCCTTGGTGGGCTGCTAGGATAAAGGCTGTAACTGTCCCCAGTTACCTTAATTCAATTAAACGTTTAGGTGGACTGGGTTCTAGGGGTGCCCTCTTTGGTGTCCCTGAATCCAAATCTTTGTCCTTTTTTTTTTTTAAGGTTTTATTTTTAAGTAAACTCTACACCAAATGTGGGGCTCAAACTTACAACCCTGAGATCAAGAGTTGCATAGTCTACCAACTGTGCCAGCCAGGCAACCCTCAAATCTTGGTCTTTTTAAAAAAGATTACACTGTGGGGTGGTGGTCTTAAAACTTGCTTGTATATACAATTTGATATTTTACTCTTTTCAAAAAAAAATTTATTTGTGAGAGAGTGAGCAGGCATGCATGCACAGGTAGGGGGAGAGGCAGAGGGAGAGAATCCTCAAGCAGACCCTCCACTGAGTGTGGAGTCCAGTGCAGGGCTCAATCTCAGGACCCATGAGATCATGACCTGAGCCAAAACCCAGGAGTCAGACACTCACCAACTCTGAGCCACCCAGATGCCCCAATATTTTACTTTTTTTTTTTAAGATTTATTTATTTATTTGAGACCAAACACAAGCGGGAGTGGGAGAGGGAGAGAGAATCTCAAGCAAACTCCACACAGCACAGAGCCCAACTCGGGGCTCAATCTCACAACTCTGAGATCACAGCCTGAGCTGAAACTAAGAGCTGGACACTTAACTGACTCCGCCAGCCAGGGACCCCAATATTTTACTTTTTAAAACACTTTTATACTTTTTTTTAAGTAGGCTCCACGTGGAGTCCAACATGAGGTTTGAACTCACAACCCTGAGATCAAAACCCAAGCTGAGATCAAGAATCAGATGTTCAACTGACTGAGCCAGTCAGGCGCTCTGCACTTTTATACTTGTTTTTTTTTTTAAGATTTTTTATTTATTTGACAGAGATAGCGAGCGCACACACAAGCAGGAGGAGAGGCAGAGGGAGAGGGAGAAGCAGGCTCCCCACGGAGCAGGGAGCCAGATGTGGGGCTCAATCCCAGGACCCTGGGATCATGACCTGAGCCAAAGGCAGACGCTTAACTGATCCACCCAGGCGCCCCTGCATTTTTATACTTCTTTTAAATTTCTAATTAACTGGGGCACCTGGGTGGCTCAGTTGTTAAGCATCTGCCTTCAGCTCAGGTCATGATCCCAGAGTCCTGGGATTGAGCCCCACATTGGGCTCCCTGCTCAGCAGGAAGCCTGCTTCTCCCTCTCCTGCTCCCCCTGCTTGTGTTCCGTCTCTCACTGTGTCTCTGTCAAATAAATAAATAAAATCTTTAAAAATAAATAAATTTCTAATTAACTTTCAGGCATTTATTTCTAAATGTTTAAAAACAAATAGGATTGGGGTGACTGGGTGGCTCAGTCATTAAGCGTCTGCCTTCGGCTCAGGTCATGATCCCAGGGTCCTGGGATCGAGTCCCACATTGGGCTCCCTGCTCAGCGGGAAGTCTGCTTCTCCCTCTCCCACTCCACCTGCTTGTGTTCCCTCTCTCGCTGTGTCTCTCTCTGTCAAATAAATAAAATCTTTAAAAAATAAATAAATAAAAACAAGTTGGATCAAAACCTTTTGTGGATAGTGGAATGTTTCGTGACTTTAAAATTCAAGGTGTACGTAGTTTTGATCCGGTTTTTTTGACAGACTTTCAGGAATGTCCTTAAGAGATAAAAAGGTTGCAAAACTACCCTTGATGATTATTATTACTATTTGAAACATTAATAACTATAAATATTAATTTTGACTAATTTGCTGTTCAACTACTTTCTGAAAAATCGTAGTGTTTTTTTCCATAAACGTCTGATTAAAAAGTACATACAAAGACTTGAATAAACTACCCTGGGAAATTTGAGAAAGCCCTCATACAAAGAGCTAGCAAGCAAGGAATGAGAACAAACAGGAAGTATGGTTGGGAACAAATGCCCTTATTTGAGAAAAGCCTCATACAAAAAGCTAAGCAAAGAATGAGGACAAATAGAAAGTATGGTTGGGAACTAATGCCTGGTTTGTAGAGTAAATGGGAAGCAAGAAAGTAGTCACAACTTATGAAGAATGATCTGGGGGTGAAGTTCACTGTAAAGGGAATGAGAAAAGTAGTATTTGAGATCCTTAGATTCTAGGAGGGTTACCATAAATGAATTTTTTTAGTAGGGGAAAAACTGAGTTTACTACTTTGGTTCTTGGCTCAACCAGCCTCCCTCAAACCTACCTCTTTCTTCTTAGAAAACAAGGCCAATTTGCAAGCAGTTAAAACCTCGTATTCATTATCAGCTGAGGTTTCCCTTTTATTATCCTGTTTACTGAGATCTTCCTAGCTTAGGAAATAGGAGTCATTTGATTTGATTTGATTTATTTCTTTTTTTCCCCCAGAGCTGGAGACCAAACCTGCAACCAAGAATGTATCAATCGAGGATATTTCTGAAGATGTATCACAAGAGACCATAATATATAAACTCACAGAGAATGGTCTATGGAACTCCAGAATGGGAGGATTATGGAAATGGAATGAAAGGATATTGAGATTGCAAAATAGTCAGGAAAATCATTTGAACCAAAAAATAGTTACTCACAAGAAAATTTCCTCTGGTCAAAGAGGCTTTAGATTTGGATCTATTCTTTTTCCTGAAGCAGGAGTTATCAGAGAAGAACCCCACAGCAAATGCCAAACACATGAAAATTTCACTGAGAATTTAGATTTGATTACAGATACACATATGGGGAAGAAAATTTGCAAGGATACAGAAGGCAGCAAAGCCATAAGGCCTACTTCAGAACTTACGTTAGGGAAAAAATACAATAATAAAGAAAAGCCCTATAAATGTAGTACATGTGAAAAGTCTTTTCGTTATAGGTCACTACTCATTCAACATCAGAGAACTCACACTAAAGAAAAACCTTATGAATGTAATGAATGTGGGAAAATGTTCAGCCAGCCTTCATATCTCAGTCAACATAAAAAAATTCACACTGGAGAAAAACCCTATAAATGTAATGAATGTGGAAAGGCCTTCATTGCTTCTTCATCCCTTATGGTACATCAGAGAATTCATACTAAGGAGAAACCTTATCAATGCAATGTCTGTGGAAAATCTTTTAGCCAGTGTGCTCGCCTTCATCAACACCAGAGAATTCAAACCGGAGAGAAACCCTATAAATGTAGTGAATGTGGGAAAGCTTTCAGTGATAAATCAAAACTTGCAAGACATCAGGAAACTCACAATGGAGAGAAACCCTACAAATGTAATGATTGTGGGAAAGCCTTTAGGAATAAGTCATATCTTAGTGTACATCAGAAGACCCATAATGAAGAGAAACCATATAAATGCAATGAATGTGGGAAATCTTTCAAGAATACCACAATTTTTAATGTCCATCAGAGAATTCATACTGGAGAGAAACCCTTTAGATGTAATGAATGTGGGAAAGCCTACAGAAGTAATTCAAGCCTTATTGTACATATAAGAACTCATACTGGGGAAAAACCCTATGAATGTAATGAATGTGGGAAAGCATTCAATCGTATAGCAAATTTCACAGAACATCAAAGAATTCATACAGGAGAAAAACCTTATAAATGTAATGAATGTGGGAAAGCATTCATTAATTATTCATGCCTTACTGTACACCACAGAATGCATACAGGAGAGAAACCTTATAAATGTAATGAGTGTGGAAAGGCCTTCATGCGTTCTTCATCCCTAATTATACATCAGCGAATTCATACTGAAGAGAAACCTTATCTATGTAATGAATGTGGGGAATCTTTCAGAATAAAATCACACTTAACTGTACATCAGAGGATTCATACTGGAGAGAAACCATATAAATGTAATGAATGTGAGAGGGCATTTACCAAAATGGTAAATCTCAAAGAGCATCAGAAAATTCATACTGGAGTGAAACCTTATAAATGCTATGATTGTGAAAAATCTTTTAGGACTAAGTCATACCTTATTGTACATCAAAGGACACATACTGGAGAAAAACCATATAAGTGTAATGATTGTGAGAAAGCTTTCACTAATACATCACAACTTACTGTACATCAAAGAAGGCATACTGGTGAAAAACCCTATAAATGTAATGAATGTGGGAAGGTTTTCACAAGTAACTCAGGCTTTAATACCCATCAGAGAACGCATACTGGAGAGAAACCATTTAAGTGTAATGACTGTGGGAAAGCATTTAGCCAGATGGTACATGTCACAGAACATCAGAAAATCCATAGTGGAGAGAAACCCTATAAATGTGATGTCTGTGGAAAAGCCTTTAGGAGGGGTTCATACCTAACAGTGCATTGGAGAACACATACTGGAGAAAAACCCTATACATGCAAGGAATGTGGAAAAGGTTGCATCACTCTATCACAGCTAACTCTACATCAGAGAATTCATACTGGGGAAAGGCCCTATAAATGTGAAGAATGTGGAAAAGCATTCAGAACCAACTCAGACTTTACTGTACATCTGAGGATGCATACTGGAGAAAAACCCTATAAATGTAATGAATGTGGAAAAGCCTTTAGGAGTAGCTCAAGCCTTACTGTACATCAAAGAATACATCAAAGAGAAACTCAACTAATATAAAGATTAATAAATCATCCAGATGCCAACTCCACAAGAAGAATCATAAACCGTGTCTTTTATGAATGTGGGAAAACTTCCAGGAGCAATTTATCAGAAAATACGCACCTAAGAGATACTTTAGAGGGGGCGCCTGGGTGGCTCAGTCGGTTAAGCATCTACCTTCAGCTCAGGTCATGATTCCAGGGTCATGGGTTCAAGCCCCACATCAGGCTCCTTGCTCAGTGGGGAGTCTGCTTCTCCCTCTGCCCCTCCCCCTGCTCTTGCTCTCTCTCAAATAAATAAAACCTTTTAAAAAGAGAGAGAGACTTTAGAAACATAAGAATGTGGTAAAGCATACAGTCATATTAAATCTTAGAAGTTCTAAGAAAATTCACAATAGAGAAAAATAATGGACAAATGAAAGTATTCATCCAGATTTCATACTTTATTCACTTAACAAATCATCTTCAATGAATTGCCTATATATTTTTTGCCTATTTTTCTATTGGTTTGTCTTTCTTATAAATTTGGAGGTGCTCTTATGTATTTGAAATATTAATCCTTTTTCATGTGTGTTGCAAATTTTTTTAATCTAGTGATTGTCTTTATGCTTTTTTATATAGTAAAAGACTTTAACATTTTAATTGTTCATAGTAAGATATTTATACATTTTCCTTTTTAGATTGTTAATTTACTCTTTTAGTTAAAAGGGTCTCCTTAATCTCTGATTATACAATAGTCTCCTAAATTTGTTTCTAAGATTTTGGTTATTTTTTACATTAAAGTCTTTAATCCATCTGGACTAGATGGCTAGTCATAGAAGAGTAAATGGCCATTAATCTCTGAAAATGTTATGAACCTAAGGAGCACTCAGGGAAATGCAAATTAAGACAACCAGTGAGATGTCACTTCCACTTCGTGGAGCTGGCAAAAATTAAGAGATCTTTTGCTAGTGGGTTTTGGGGAGCCATCTACTTTTACAAAAAGGTTTTATCAACTTATATTTCCACCAGCAATTCAGCAACATATATTTTAAAGTTTTTAAATAAAATTTTAAAATAAAAATACTTTGACCTAGCAGTCTCACTTTGGGAATCTGCCCCCACAGAAATAACATCATCAATGCATAAAAATACACACAAATAAAGAGTTCTGTCGAAGTATTGTTTGTAGAGACAAAGTAGAAAACCAAGTGGAGACAAATTGAATGCCCATTGATGGGGGAATGGTGGAATAAATTGTGATATAACCATTCTGTGGAACAGCATGATAGTAATTTTTAAAATTAGTTATTTCTACATTAGTTGAACTCAAGGTATTCCCACAAATTTTAATAACTAATTGCTTTATTACAGAGCTTTATGTGTACAGGATTTTATTTTTGTTAATGATTACACCCATTTAGGTGTTGAGCATGGAAACAAGTATATATACCAGAAGAATGTATACCAGGCTGTTATTATTGGTTACCTTGAAGGAAGGGAGAAGAGAAGTAGGGGGATAAATGGGGGAAAGGACTGGAATTTTTTTTTTAATTTAAGTGTAGCATGTATGGCTTAAAACTCAATGTAAAACTGTATTTGTGTGAACTTTTGAGAACCATGAATGAAAGTATGGTCTCTGAAAAGTTAATGGTTGTTTTAGAGTCATGGAGTACCCAGTATTTTTTGTTTGTCTGACTTCTGCACTTTTCTGTAATTCATAAGTTTTTCTTTTCAATGAGCATGTAATATTATCATAAACAGTAAAAACCTATTTTACTCGTGGAGGTAATTCACTGGACACCTGTTATGTACCAAGAATTACCCTAATACGTTGGCAAGGTAGGGGCAGTCATGGATCTAAGAGCATGGGAATTGGTTCTGATGCTGCCTAGATTCCAAAGAAGTTACCCAGCACCTCATTCCCTCTACCCTCTTGGTTTCATTTGGAGGAGGTAGTAATTTCAGACAAATAGAAAACATATCCAAGAGTATCTGGAACTTGGCGTCCAGGCTGTAGACTACAGGTCTGCAAGCCTCAAGAGAAGTTCCACCTTCAACATGACACTGAAGAAAATGTCACAATGGTGAAAAGTTCCATGTACAGCCTCACAGAACGTTCCATGATGGATTAGAGAGAGAGGAAACAGCCAACGATACCCAAGCCCATAAATGAAGTCTTGGAAGTTCTGGAAATACTAAGAGTCCTGGAACAAAAATGAGAACCTAGAGGCTGCAGCCCTGATACCAGAAGACCCTAACAGACCATGGACCTGATATCCAAAAAGGACAAGACATGGTGAGCTATGCTTCTGTGGAGGCTGAAGAAAAGAGAATCCAATACCCCTCCCACAATGTTAGAATATGTATCTATTTAATATTGGGAAGGGGATATTGGACAAATGATACGAGCTTCTTCCCATTACAAGTGAATAATTTGACACTTTAAAATGACCATTTCTGATTGAATTTTAATAGTGGAACTTCAAACTGTTACCAAGAAACATACCTCCTTTGGATGTAATATACCAGTTTCTGATTGGAAAGTTTGAGAGTTAAACCTTTAAATATTACCCCTAAAAGACCAGGCTGTTAAAGCGTTGACATAACTTGATGCCTAGTCTGCTAGCTGCTTTCTACCTCCTAATCCTCACCACACATAAAACCCTCTTCCCTGCCTTAGAGCCAAGCATTTCAAGAAGAGGAGCATGGTCAGGTTCAAATGACATAACTGAAGAGTGTCCACAGGGTTAGGGGATGGAGATGACACAGGCCACCTTTACTAGAGCAATTTCAATGGAGAGGAAAGGCGACAAAGCCTGATTCTAGTGTGTGGCAGTATCTCATTATAGGTTTAATTTGTATTTCCTTTGTGGCTAATGATGTTGAATCTCCTTTTAGGTGCTTACTGGCTTTTTGAATATCCTCTTTTAAGAAGTGCCTTTTCAAGACTTTTGCCCATGTTTTTTAATTGGGAACGCTTTGTTCATTTGTAGGATTCTTTCTATATTCTGGGTGCAAAGTACTTTTTGGATACTTGTGTTACAAATATCATCTCTTCATCTCCAACTTGCCTTGATGTCCTTTGATGAATAGAAGACTTTAATTTTAATGAACAACTAATCAGTCTTTTATGATTGGTGTTTTTTGTGCCCAGTGTAAGAAATTTTTTCCTAATCCAAAGTTGTAAAGATATTTTCCTACATTCCCTTCTGCACTTTTCACTTTTAGGTCTAAAATCCATCTGAAATTAATTTTTATGTGTGGGGTAGAGGTCAAATTAATATTTTCCATACAAATATACAATTTATTTGACATCATTTAATTGAAAAGGCCACCTTCTCCTTTCCCCCTTGTGTCATAGTGGTATTATGATAAATCAGATGATCATATATGGGGGTCTATTTCTAAATTATCTATTCTGTTCTTTTATTCCATTGAACACCAAATGTTCTTAGGGTAAACAGATTTATAGTAAGTCTTGACGTCTGGTGGTATATGTCTTCTAATTTTGTTCTTGTTCAAAATTGTCACTGCAATTCTAGATCCTTGGCATTTTCATATACATCTTTGAATGATTTATTTTTTCAATTGTTCCACACCGAAAAGTTGAGATTTTAATGGGCATTACATCAAATATATAATTTACAAGAATGGACAGTTTAACAATATTGAGACACCCAGTCTATGGGCATGTTATACCTTTTCATTTATACACATCTTTTAATCAGCAATTTTTGTATTTTTTCAGTGTAGAAATTTTGAACATTTTTATTTGGTCTTATGTATTCAGTGTTTTAACATTATAAATGCTATTATCTTAGTTTACAGATTTCTGCCAATTTATATCAAATATATACAGTTGATCCTTGAATAATACAGGTTTAAACTGTGCAGGTCCACTTATACACGGATTTTTTTTCAATAAATATATTGGAAAATTTTTTGAAGATTTGGGACAATTTGAAAAACTCACAGATGGACCATGTAAGCTAGAAATATTGAAAATTTAAGCAAAATATATCATGAATGCACAAAATATATGTGGAAAATAGTCTTTTATCACTACCATAAAATATACACAAATCTATTATGCAAAGTTAAGATTTGTCAAAACTTACACACACAAGCAGACCATACATGACGCCATTTGCACTTGAGACAAATGTAAACTAAAAGATTCAGCAGTGATAACTGTATAAAATTAACTGTCCCACATCTGTATTTCTGTAATAATTTTGTATCCACCTGCTGGTATTGCCTTAAGCTCAAGTGTTGTATACACTTAAAATGGTGTGTGACACTGTCACGGAACAGTTCATCTCTGATAAATTGTATATTACAGTACAAAGTCCTCTCTCCCAGTTCACGTATTTTTCATCATGTTTAGTGAAATACCGTAAACCCCCAAATAACACCAGGGGACCCATATGAAGTGCCACTAATGATGCTGGAAGTGCTCCCTAAAAGAGAAGTCATGACATTATAAGAAAAAGTTGAGGGCGCCTGGGTGGCTCAGTTGGTTAAGCAACTGCCTTCGGCTCAGGTCATGATCCCAGAGTCCCGGGATCGAGTCCCACATCGGGTTCCCTGCTCAGCAGGGAGTCCGCTTCTCCCTCTGACCCTCTTCCCTCTCGTGCTCTCTATCTCTCATTCTCTCTCTCAAATAAATAAATAAAATCTTTAAAAAAAAAAGTTGAATTGCTTGATATGTACCGTAGATCGAAGTCCACAGCTGCAGTTGCCTGCCATTTCAAGATAAATGGATCCAGTATAAGGATCACTGTAAAAAAAAAAAAATTTCATGAATCTGTCACTGCAGCTAAGCCAGCAGGTGTGAAAACTTTGCACTTTTTGTGAAATACCTTTTTATCATACTGAAAATGCAGCTTTTATGTAGGTGCAGAACTGTTATAAGTAAGACATACTTAGAGACTCATATGATTTGAGAAAAAGCGAAGTCTATATGGCAACTTCAAAAGAAAAAGGAAGATGAGGGATCTAAAGCTGGAAAATTTATTGCCGCAATGGCTGGTTTGATAATTCTAGAGGTTTGGCTTTTAAAATGTCAACAAGAGAAGCAGCTTCTTCTTACCACGAGGCAGCGGATTAGTTCCCAGACACCATTAAGGAAATCATTGAGAAGAAGGAATATCAGTCTGAAAAGGTTTTTAATGCAGACAAAAGTGCCCCATTCTGGAGGGGAAAAAATGCCAC